GAAATTCAAAAACAAACAAACAAACAAACTGACAGTAAATAAAAATGAAAAAAAAAGATGAGAGCGTTGAAATGATTATTAATACAGTAGTTAGGGTCTGAGAAAATTGTGGTTTGTGACTGATTGGTTGTTAGTTTGTGGTAATGGGCTATTGCGTTTTAAGTCAACATATAACGTAAATCATGGACCCAAAGGGTTGGGGTTGAACTATAAGAGTGACAGTCAAATCCAACTATTCGACCACAAAAAAAAAAAAAAAAAATTAAGAAAGACTTGACGGTGGTCGTTGTTGACTAATTACCTTTATTTTAGTCTAACAGTTCAAAGTTAGTGAAGGTTATGCGCAGATAGTTTTTATGTAACTTTATACGAAATTCCGAAACAAACAAACAGGCATAAGTTTCTGCTTCGATAAAACAGAAAAAAAACAAAAACGTTTTAATTAAATTCGGATAAAATCAGTAAACGTGGCATAGTTTCGAATTAGGGTGACATTATGTAGTGAACGCTTACGAATTTGAATTAATTAACACACTCCTAAGCAGACTTTCTATAAACACTCGTAGAAAACAAGAGGGAATCCTCCATATCCGCGACACTAAATATTCTTTTCGGCAGAATTAAAGTAAATTAATGTATAAAACCTTGGGCGTGGTCAAATACATCAATCGAAAGGGTTTGACCTAACGAGTCCAAAACTGTAACTAAATCTCAAATCGGTCAAGAGATGACGGAGGTATGAGCGAAAAGTTTGTATTAAAAAACAACTCCAAGCCATTCTATGAGCTGTTGTGCAGCGGCTAAAAAAAAAAAAAGATGAAGAGGTTTGAAATTTCTAACATTCCAAATGATGCAAATGATAACAAATAAAGTGTGATAGAAACCGTGTTAAATGTCCAATAAAAGATGTCGTCTGCTGTGAACTGTTAAAGTTTCTGTTTTGGTTTTTCTTTCTGTTCTACTTTTATTTATGTAAAATACTTGTTCTGTCATTTTACTACCAATTTACACATTTTAATAACAATAATAATATAATAAGGATAATATTTATGTCCATTAATAAGTAAAAAGGTATGTTCGACATAGACAAATGTTGGCTGATATAATTCTCTTTTTTTTTCTATTTCAAAAAAGAAGTAAACCACTAATGAAATTATAATTTCA